TCTCAGCCTCCCAAAGTGCTGGGATTACAGGCTTGAGCCACCGCGCCTGGCCTGGAACCATTTTTGTAATTTCATTTTCTGATTGTTCATTGCTCGTGTACAGAAATGCAAGTATTTTTTATGGTTGGCTTTGTATCTTGCTAATATGCTAATTTTATTTGTTCTAATAGTGTTTAATCTTTAGGGCTTTCTGCATATAAAATCATACCATTTGTGAGCAGAGACAATTTTACTCCTTCTTTCCAATTTGAATGTCTTTTCTTTTTCTTGCCTCCTTGCCCTATTTAAAACCTCTAGTAATATGTTGAATAGAAGTGGCAAAAGCAGGAATTCTTGCCTTCTTCCTGATCTTATAGAAAAAGGTTTCAGTCTTTCACCATCGAGTATAATGTTTGCTGTGGGTTTTTCATATGTGGCTTTTATTATGTTGAGGTAGTTTCCTTCTATTCTGAGTTTGTTGACTGTTTCTATCATGAAAGGTTGTTGAAATTTGTCATGTGCTTTTTCTGCATCAATTGAGATGATGATGTAAGGTTTTTTTCATTCTCTTATGAACCCCAAAAATCTGAGACAGGTCTCAGTCAATTTAAGAAGTTTCTTTTGCCAAAGTTAAGGACGCGCATCCAGGAGACAGGTCTATGCCTTCCTCTGAACGTGAATTTTAGAGTTCCAAATTTAAAGGGGAAAGGGCGGGATATTGAGAAGTACACAATTTTCATGTAAGACCAGGGTAGGGGGAAAATAGTCATTCATGCCTTTGTCTGGCTCAGTGAGTTTGCATTTTTATGTAAGGTAACATAGGGCAGGGGAAAATGTGGGGAACCTGCATGTTTACACAAGATAACAAAGACAATTGGGACAGGGGAATAATCAGATATGCATTTGTGCCAGGTGGGCAGAGGGGTGATGCCTCTGTAAAGATAAGCTATCCATTTACATTGCCATGGTGAATTTTATCAGACAGCTGTCTTGGAGCTCACCAGGAATTTCCTTGTGGGCAAAATCTGAGGGAGGTGTGTAGCTGTTCATCTCGCAGCCATCTTATTTAGGAACCAAAACAGGGAGGCAGGTTTGCATGACCCAGTTCCCAGCTTGACTTTTCTGTTTGGCTTAATGAGTCTGGGGACCCAAGATTGATTTTCCCCTCACACTGTTAATGTAGTGTATGACAGCAGCTTTCATATGTTGAACCATCCTTGTCTGTGTATTTCAATGACAAGGTGTGTTTGTTTCTGCTTCCTGCAGAGCAGAAAGACCATGGGTTTGAGGTGGCCTCCACCTCCCCTGAAGACGAGTCCTCTGGCAGTAACCCTGAGCCAGACGCCACCCCGTTCCAGGAAGATTTGAGGACCTTCGACCAGCTGGATGCTGTATCTAGTTTGCCCACACCCAGCGACATCTTTGTGTCGTACTCTACTTTCCCGGGTGAGCACATCAGAAGGGCTCGCCCTTGCAGCCAGAGGCCTTCCTCTCTGCCCTAGAGGCAGCTGTGTGATGAGAGAAAAGACCAGGGTCTGAGTCCTGGTCTGTCTCTTGCTCCTCTGTGACCCTGAATGACTGACTTCTCCTCTCTGAATCTTGGCTCAGGCTGAGCAGACAAGGATGTGCACGGCAAGGAAGCCTGCGCCCTTGGGTTCCTATGCCTCACTTGTCTCTCCTCTGCCTGACTCTGCCTCTGCCTTCGCATCTTTAGCAGGGAATAGGAATTGTGCCTCAGGGGTTGCCATGGCGATGAAACAAGGTGGCTGGCACGTCACTGAGCACAGTACGTGGCACATAGTAGGTGCAGCAGGTGGTAGTTTCCTTCCTTTTTTTTTTTTTTTGAGACGGAGTCTTGCTCTGTCACCCAGGCTGGAGTGCAGTGGCACAACCTCAGCTCACTGCAACCTCCACCTCCCAGGTTGAAGTAATTCTCCTGCCTCAGCCTCCTAAGAGCTGGGATTACAGGCGTGCACCACCACACCCAGCTAATTTTTGTATTTTTAGTAGAGACAGGGATTCAGCATGTTGGCCAGGCTGGTCTTGAACTCTTGACCTCAAGTGATTTGCCCACCTCGGCCTTCCAAAATGCTGGGATTACAGGTGTGAGCCACTGGGCCCGGCAGTTTCCTTCCTTTCTTATGCCTTGGATGAGTCACTTCACTTTTCCAAGCCTTCGTTTCCTTGCTGGGAAAACGGGAATCATAGCCAGAATCAGGAGATGGTCACGAGGTGAAATAAGATCATGATTAGGGCAGAGCCTCAGGGGCCAGGCTGCTCCTGCTGGATGCATATGTGAGTCAAGATCTGCAGGGCGCCCGAGCCTGCGTACGTGGCTGGGGGGGGGGCGGGGGCGCGGGGGTGGCTCTCCAGCAGTGTTCAGTCCTCCTCCCTCCAAAGGTTTTGTCTCCTTGAGGGACCCCAAGAGTGGCTCCTGGTACATTGAGACCCTGGACAACATCTTTGAGCAGTGGGCTCACTCTGAAGACCTGCAGTCCCTCCTGCTCAGGGTGAGTGCTGCCTTCCTCTGCAAAGGAGAGGGGAGACTGCTGGGGGGCAGCGTGTTCTCCTGGGGCTGGGGATTGGGGGGTGAGCAGGGCAGGCCCAAACCAAGGGTAAAAGGTAGTAGACTCCTCTGAGCCTTGGAGTCAGTACTTTTGTGTCTCTATGAGAGGCATTCCTGCCTGTGGTGACATTTGCCCTTTATTCAAAGAGTTGCCTTCCCTGTCTCCTCCAAGGTCCCCAGGTTGACACCTCCTGCTCCTCCACTGATGGAGCTGGTCCTCGGTGCCAGCGCGGGATGGCTCTGTCTAGATCCCGAAGGCGGGTCATGGGCCCCTGCCTATACCCTGCGGCCATCACGCAGTCTTCTACTCTTGACCCTCAAGAATTATGAACCCCTCCTTGTACATCTCCTTCTCAGGAGGCCCTGGTGAGGAAACAGATAGGAAAGGGTGGCCTGAGGGTGGCCTCAGAGGCCCAGTCCTACTCCAAGGAAACCCCACTCAGAACAGTTGCTTCCTCTGAGGGTCCCGTAGACTTGTGGCTGCCTTGGGGAAGCAGCGCGTGTGGGCCCCTGCTGCTCTGCTCAGGTGTTCCTGCCATGAGAAGGGGCCGCGGGGCTGAGGCCACGCCTTGCTCCTTGCAAATATTTCAGTCTGATTTGAACTTTATGAGTTTGGAAATTTTGAATTTTGAGTTTTTTAAAGGTAAAGTTCAGGTGCGTGTTCTTCAAGCCCTCCTGCTCAAAGAGGCTGCAGTTTGAGCTGTTTTTAAGGTGTCAGTTGAGTGGACATTCCCCCCAGCCCCTCTTGAATTGTTCCTTCGGTCCAGAGAACTGAACTCACAGAGCTCTCCATGGTCATGTCTTACAGGTCGCTGATGCTGTTTCGGTGAAAGGGATTTATAAACAGATGCCTGGTTGCTTTAATTTCCTCCGGAAAAAGCTTTTCTTTAAAACATAAGGCCAGGGCCCCTCACCCTGCCTTATCTTGCACCCCAAAGCCTTCCTGCCCCAGGCCTGAAAGTGGCTGAGACCTGGACTTTCCTGCAACTCAAGGACTTTGCAGCCGGCACAGGGTCTGCTCTTTCTCTGCCAGTGACAGACAGGCTCTTAGCAGCTTCCAGATTGGCGACAAGTGCTGAACAGTGGAGGAAGAGGGACAGATGAATGCCATGGATTGTGTGTGGCCTCTTGAGCAGTGGCTGGTCCAGGGCTAGTGACTGTCCTGTGATCCCTGTGTTCTCTCTAGGGCAGGGATTAACCTCTGTACTACTGACCTGTGGGGTCAGGTCACCCTTTGCTGTGAGGCTGTCCTGGATGTTCAGCACTGTCCCTTGCCTCAATGCCAGTGACACGTCTCCCAGTGCCAAACAAAAATGTTCTCAGGTGTTGCCAAATATGTCCTGGGGTATAAAACTTTACTCACCTGCCAACCACTGGTCTATAGGGATTTTTGGCTACACACAAACCAGTATCTCTCATAGATCAGCAAGCTGGGGCCTACTAGAGTCTCAACAGCTGTAATCTGTGAATTCTAAGTGAAGTTTTAAAAATTGTTAATTTTTCCTACATTGCATTAATCTTAGAAAATAAAAGGCAAATATGGACTCTCTTTTGCCTATTTCTTCCCTCATTTTGCTCCAACTCTTTGTTCTTCCTTACAAAAGAGACTTTTGCTTTTTTCAAAACATTTCCCCATGTTTTTCTGGGCTCCCACTATGTTGCCCAGGCTGGTCTCAAACTCCTGGGCTGCGGTGACCCTCCCAAGTAGCTGTAACTACAGGCTGCACCACCTCACCCAGCCCCATTTCTTCATGTCTCATTTCACTTGATCCCTATTCCATCCCAGGAAGGCAACAAGGGAACAAGGGTGAGAACCCTGTGCTCGGGGAGGTTAGGTCTCTTGTCCAAGGGAACACAGTTATCCGGAGATAATTATAGGGAGGGGCTCATGAAGCACCCCCAGACTGCAGTGTGAATGTGGTGTGCAATAGTGACACGTTGGGCTGCTCCACCCTGAGGTCTTTTAAGCTGTCATTGTGCCAGCCTATTTGTTGTTTTTTGGGCTTTTTTTTTTTTTTTTTTTTTTGGAGAAAGGGTCTTACTCTGTCACCCAGGCTGGAGTGCAATGATGCGATCTTGGCTTCCTGCAGTCTTGACCTCCTGGGCTCAAGAGATCCTCCCACCTCAGCCTCCTAAGTAGCTGGGACTACAGGTGTGCACTACCTCTCCCAGTTAATTTTTGTATTTTTAGTAGAGACAGAGTTACGCCATGTTACTCAGGCTGGTCTTGAACTCCTGGAACTCAAGCGATCAGCAAAGTGCAGGGGTTACAGGCTTGAGCCATTGAGCCTGACCTATTTCTGGTTTTTAGGGCCCTGGATGTTAGGATGGATTGCTAAATAAATAACAATAAAACCCTCATCAAGATGTGATTTGTATAGTTGTCACTTTATATAATATTACTTTCCTTCTGTGACCTTTCCAAGTCTGAAACCGTCCCGGGGACTTCTTTTGGTTAGTTATTTGCAATCACCTGCAGGACACACAAGAAAATCGTCAGGTTCACCTAACTGCAGAGCTGTGCATGGCAGTTTCCTGTCTCTGTCCTCCTGGGCTAAGCTCCTCATGTGAGTCACAGGCAGCCCACACTGCAGTAGCTCCTGCCTGAGGAGTTCTAATGACGTTTCGGAAAAAAGATGCAATCACAGCTTTTCATTGACCTGTTAGGGTCTCCTGTAAAGGGGGTCTTAGCCAGGAGTCCTGTGTGGGTTTCAGGGTAGGGGGCCTTTGAACCCCCTAAAACTTATATTCCAAATGTGTGGATGGCATATTTTTAGATTTCATTTGTTTCTCAAATCAAAACTGCTGTTTGCAAGGCAGTTATGCAATATGGTTGGGGCAATTACTATTTCCAGAGACTGTTGATCAGTATCTGTTAAACTTTTTTTTTTTCCTTTGAGACAGTCTAACTCTGTTTCCCAGGCTGGAGTGCAGTGGCATGATCTAGGCTCACTGCAACCTCCGCCTCCCAGGTTCAAGCGATTCTCCTGCCTCAGCCTCCTGAGTAGCTGATATTACAGCTGTGCACCACCACGCCTGGCTGTTTTTGTTTGCATTTTTACTAGATTCAGGGTTTCACCATGTTGGCCAGGCTGGTCTCAAACTGCTGACCTCAAGTGATCTACCTGCCTCAGCTTCCCAAAGTACTGGGATTATAGGCGTGAACCACCGCGCCCGGCCTGTTAAACATTTTGATATGCCAACTTCATGATCCAGTGCTGTAAACGGCAAGAGATCCAGCTGTTACAGCACAAACACTCAGACCAGTGTGCAAGAATTGCTGTCCAAGCGATGTTCACTGCACAATGTAGAAGTGAAAAATAAGGAACATTAAAACTACATTCATTATACTCAAACTATGAATACTATTTAGCTTCATTCAAAAAGAATGACATATACGTATAATATATAAAATGTAATAAGGTGTTAAGTGAAAACAGCTGCAGAATAGTATGAAGACTCAAGATCCTATTTTGCTTAGAAGACAGTGTCTCTCTTTCTCTCTGTATAGATACATATACATAAATTAGAAGACCACAAGCTTTTAACAATCATTGGCAGGGCGCGGTGGCTCATGCTTCATAATCCCAGCACATTGGGAGGCCGAGATGGGCAGATCACCTGAGCTCCGGAGTTCAAGACCAGCCTGGCTAAAACATGGTGAAACCCCATTTCTACTAAAAATACAAATTACCTGGGCATGTTGGTGCATGCCTGTAATCCCAGCTAGTTAGGAGGCTGAGGCAGGAGAATTGCTTGAACCTGGGAGGCAGAGGTTGCAGTGAGCTATCAAGCCACTGTACTCCAGCCTGGGCAACAGAGTGAGACTCCATATGAAAACAAACAAAAACAATGATTACCTCTGGAGAGTCGATTGGAGATGTAAGATGAGGGGGACATCTTGATACATTTTACTTGATACACTCATATTATGTTAATATTTTTACACAGAGGATGTATTACCTTCTGGAAAAATAAAGAAAGCACAAGGATTGCTGAAGTTCATGTGTGACTGCCATTCAATGGACATTTGTTGAAAGGATGAATGCCCCGGGCCACTTGTCTCCTCTGCTTCTCTGCTCTTTGCTTGTACTTCACAGTCTTGGCAAGCTGTCACTGTCTGGGTTTATCCAGGCAGCTGCTCTCAGGCACCCCCAGGGCTCTAGTGGTTCGTGACTCCAGGCTGCACACAGTGTGTCCCTGGGTTGGGGCCACTGCAAGTTTCACGAGCTGCTCTGCCACTGCCAGGGGCAGCCCCCACCCAAGGACAGCTGGTTGCTTGGCTCTCCCCGTTCTGAAACCTGTTACACAGGCATCTGTGCCTGCCCGACTGCTCTCCATGAATACAGGACTCTGCCCAGTTGCCTCGTGAGTGCTGCCGTGGATCCCTGCTGCTGCATATCTGGCCATGCTTTGGGATCTGGCCTGCTCTGTGCTTATATCTGTAGCTGGGAACAGCCCCAGCACAGGACAAAAACACTGGGACAATTGCCCCTGTTTCAGGTCCCCAGGTTGCTGCCAGGACCAGCTGCACAGTGACTCCCAGCAGCTGGGGCCCGCTCCCCACAGCAAGGATTTGGCTGAGAGAGGAGCCCCTAAAGCGCCTTTCGTCCAGTCAGTCTCAGAGTCAGGCTCCTTTGACATATAGGTGGCGCCTCCAAAGTGTTGGACTCAGATAGGTTTTTCCCAATTTACCTGCAAAGACAATTAATGATTAATGGCTGCCTTTTTGATTTTCCATTTTTCTCCAACAAATGTTTTGAATCTCTACCTGTGACCACTTGTTGGCAAAAAGATGCCAGCAGACAGACAAATGAACAAAGGCTGGCAAGAATCAGTGGGAACACTTGGAAGCAGCCACGGCTTATTGGCTCAGTTTAGTTTCCTCCTGTGACCACGTGCTCATGGCTGCAGCTTCATATTTGGTTTTTATAAGGAAGTGTCAGTTACTTTTTGTAGAAGTGAAGTTTTTATAAGTGCAGTTAAGTCAGTTAGTTTTATAAGTGCAGAAGTAACACTTCTCTGCAAAATTAAAAAGTTAAGTCAAGATCAGTTACCAGCTTTCCCCTTCTTTGGAGGCTCTGCCACAAATACCATGACTCTCTTGCTCTAGTGCCTAAAAATGTAGAGGAGTCCTAAGTCTAGTTCAAGTCCATTTACAGAAGAGGCAAACTGGGGTGGTCCCTAATTGGCACAGGTGTCCATGCCTCTTCTCCCCCAGCTTCTATTACCAGGCATGGTGCTTCCTCTGCCCTCTCCTGGGCACTTATTTTCTTGTGACTGGGTTTCCTGTTCTGGCTGCTTTCGCCTGCTTCTGCAATGTCCATGGCTGCTCCTTAATATTGATGCCAACTATTATTATTTTCAGAGACAAGATCTTGCTGTCCTGGCTCAGGCTGCAGTGCAGTGGTGTGACCAGCAACACTGTGAGCCCACTCCACCTCTCTAGGGCCCAAAAATCCTTCCCACCTCAGCCTCCCAAGTAGCTGAGACTACAGGTATGCACCACCATGCCTACTTAAAAAAAAAAAAATCTTTATGAAGACAGAGTCTTGCTATGTTGCCCAGGCTGCTCTTGAACTCCCGGGCTCAAACAATCCTCCCTCCTTGGCCTCCCAAAGTGCTGCAGATTACATTTGTATGAGCCACGGCACCTGGCCTATTATTTTAATAGATAATTTGTAATGCTTATTGTTATAAAAAAATGTGTGTTTATTAAAAAGAATTTGAGCTAGTGTAGAGCTCAGAGCAGACAGCTCTCTGAGTTTACATTTACAAGACAGAGGACAACTGGCTTTATTTGCCTGGGATGGTCCCAGTGTAAAACAAGTCCTGCATCCTGGGAAAACCTCTATTCAGGCAAACCAGGATGGTTAGTCCTCCCTAAGAATAGCTAAGAGATGCCTAAGGGGCACTAATTTCCAATAAGACTAATGCTATGGGGGTCTCAAAGTATCCAGGTTTTGGGTTTTGCAAATATATACCTGTTCATAGCACTCGATGGTGGAGTCTGGGCCACACACAGACCCACAAAAATAATTCTACTATTCTATGGAGACTCTTTTTTTTTTTTTTTTTGAGACAGAGTCTTTCTCTGTCACCCATGCTGGAGTGCAGTGGCGTGATCTCGGCTCACTGTAAGCTCCGTCTCGGGTTCGCCATTCTCCTGCCTCAGCCTCCCAAGTAGCTGGGACTACAGGCACTGCCCGCCACCATGCATATTTTTGCTTTTGCTATTTTTTAAGAGAGCGGGGTTTCACCGTGTGTTAGCCATGATGGTCTCAATCTCTGACCTCGTGATCTGCCCGCCTCGGCCTCCCAAAGTGCTGAGATTACAGGCCTGAGTCACAGCGCCCGGCCATGGAACTCTTAACATGCCAAGGCAAGTGTTCAGCCTCTTTGGACAAGGCCACCTCTATGTTCCTTTTCACTCAGCTTTACCACCACCCCCAGAAATTTTGGGGACCCTTGGAGGCCAGCAGTTACCAAGGTCACAGCCTTCTCCAGGGTTCCCATCCTAGCTCTCAAGAGGAAGGAGGGTTCTCAGTCACCGGAGTGGGCATGGCACTCCGAGGCCAGGTAAGGCAGTGCCCTGGGGCTCAGGAGCTGGTCTGGTTCTTACCGAATTGATCAAGTCATTATAGTTGGAGACCCGCGTGAGATGGAGGGCATGTAGTAGTAATTCTACATTAAGAGACGTGAGGCTGCCGATGCCATCACCTCACCCGGCCATCAGCTGCCTGACAGTTCAATGACCACTTGAGAGTCTCTGAGGAAGAGCCAGAGTTATAGGGTAAAGGGGAGAGGAAGGGCTGCCCTTTGAGAACAATATTCAATGCATTTCTATTGTTCTGCTGCAAGAGTCACTGTCCTCTGAAGGCAGCCCTTATAGTCATAGCCCAGGATGGTACCATAATTCCAACAAGAGCCAACACCTATTCTTCCTATGTGGTCAGAGCTGAGCTAAGCATGTTCATGCCTTATCCTCATTAATCCCCACAAAATCCTATGAGGTAAATATTCACAGTCTCCCCAGGTCACTGGAGAGGAGAAACTGATGTTGAGAGGTTAGGACTTGTCCAAGGTTGCTGACTGTTTATTAAAGGGAGCTGAGACCACATCCCAGAGTTCAGCTGCAGGCTCTTCCCCCACCGGCTCCATCTTCCCATGCATGGGGTGTTCTGTGTGGGCAAGAGTGTGTAGGAGCACAGTGTGATCTGAAAGTGTGTGGAACTCCAGCTACTACTGCATCCCCACTTCACTGCTAAGTCAACACAGAGCAATTCCTGGTGGATTCATTGCTGTCTCCAGGAAGTTTCATAACGCTACCTGGGAGAAGACACATATATGGATAGATAATTCAACCCAGGGATTAGTTTCCTTTGGCTCCTTCCAGCATAGAGGGAAAAGTACGAATGACAGTCATGAGGGCCTCGTGAGACCCAGAAGGACTTGGCGGTGAGAGGGGTGGATGTGACAAGAAAATCTCAAGCAAGAACAAGCAAGAACAGAACTAAGAAGAAAAAGGTCAGGTTTTTTTTTTTTTTTTTTTTTGGAGTTTCAATATCACTTCAGGCTGGAGTGCAGTGGCACCATCTCAATGCTGCCTTTGCCTGGTTCAGTGATTCTCCTGCCTCAGCCTCCCATTGTAGCTGTGACTACGAACACACCTGTACCTGTCATTTGTTTTGTGGGGCGGTAGGGTTTCACCATGTTGGCCAGGCCCCAGTCTCAAACTGCTGACCTCAAGTGATCGCACTGCCTCGGCCTTCCCAAGTCCTGGGGTTAAACAGGCCACTGTGTCACTAGCCAGATCAGTTCTAGTCTCTCAGTACCATTTCTGGTGCTTCTGCCAGAGGTGGATGGACCTATCGAGGATAGTTTTCCATAGCCCTCTTCCCATCAGCCACATTTTTGTATAACAGGCAGGAGCTGGATCTTCGGCACTCACGTTGCAGGTACATATCACGCCAGCCATCACCCCCAGCGCAGATCGCCTGTATTGGTCTTCTGGTGCCCCAAGGCAGGAGGCTGGGCAAGGTGGCATGAGAGAGATCCCACGACCAGCAACCAGCTGCTGCAGGTCATCAAGATAGCCCTATTGTGAATGAGACCAGAGAGAAGGCATTAGGGACATAGGGACTCTGAGAAAAAGTATGAACCCCTACAGACTTCCACCACTGCTATTTGTCAATTTAACAGAGAGATAACCATATTTTACATCTCTTTGTTTCTCTACCAGTCCAGATTGGTTAATTGTGCTGCTTTGGTGATTCAGCAGTGAACACCCTGGCTCAGCTAAATGACTCAACTCCCTCCTGGGATTACTCTGCGGTAGGGATGGAGAAATTCAGTTATCAGAGAAACAAATCATAGAAATCATCAAACTGTTTAATTTATATGCTGAAAAATGATAGACAAAAAGAAAAGAAATTTCTAACTGAGTGTTTCCCTGGAGTTTCAACATGGCTTCAACTGATTCTAGCCTGTTCCCTGATAGCTGGCTGTATCTCTGCCCAGCAGGTTGAGCTTTTTTTTTTTTGAGACGGAGTTTCTCTGTCGCCCAGGCAAGTACAGTGGCCAGATCTCAGCTCACTGCAAGCTCCCAACCTCCTGGTTCACGCCGTTCTCCTGCCTCAGCCTGAGTAGCTGGGACTACAGGCGCCCGCCACCTCGCCCGGCTAGTTTTTGTATTTTTAGTAGAGATGGGGTTTCACCGTGTTAGCCAGGATGGTCTCGATCTACGGCCTCGTTATCCACGCCCGTCTCAGCCTCCCAAAGTGCTGGGATTACAGGCTTACATTCTGCGCCTGGCAGGTTGAAACTTTAAATTCTTAAAACAATTCCCTTATTTTTGTGCTGAGCTAGTTCCCTGGTTTTCTGTCACTTACCTGAAATAAGAAAGTGAGCCTCCTGGCGGTCCAGGAGGCCTCTTGAAATATGCTGGTGTGTGGTGAGGCTTTCTCAATGTTTAATAGCCTGGCCTCCTCTTACTGTTACTACTGCTATAGCAGTGCTTAAGGGATGATAACAATTTTCTTGCGATTGAAGCCAAGAGTTAGGCGTGTTAAGCCTTTTGTGATTCACCCTGTAATCCTAGCAGTTTAGGAGGCCAAGGCAGGTGGATCACTTGAGGTCAGGAGTTTGAGACCAGCCTGGCCAACATGATGAAACACAAATACTCTAGTAAAACCATAGAAATTAGCTGGGCATAGTGTCACTGTAATCCAGCTACTCAGGAAACTGAGAGGCAGGAGAATCGGATTGTGAACCTGGGAGGCAAAGGTTAGTAGGCTGGTTGCACACTGCACTCCAGCCTGGGTGACAGAACAAGGCTCTGTCTCAAAAAAAAAAAAAAAAAAAAAAGGTTTTGTAGGAGATCAGCACTCAGTACAAGTAATTAACACTTGTATAACATTTTGCAATATCTGATGCATTTTCACCTTTCACCTCTTTAGTCTTCACCAACCGTGTTTCCATTTTACAGATAGAGAAACTGAGGTTCGGAAATGGCTGTGGGTTCCTGCCTGACCAACAGGCTGGGCCCCAAAAGCCAAGCATTTGGATGCCTCCTGCTCTCAATGTTTCAAGATGGAGCACCATCTGCCCCAGGGTTGTCTGGAGAAGCGAACAGGTGGTTGTGCTTCTATCTTAATAAGCATGAAATACCCTCTTCCTACATCTCACTCAAGTTTCATGTGTCCTTACATGTGTTTACAGGTAAATGATCAAGGGCATTAGGTGTTTATTGGAGGTATGTATGTGGATGTACCCCTGGAAAAACATGTCATTATACTTATCGCCCGCTCATTTAGGGAGAAATGTCATAATGTCATTATCACTCATAATGTCGTTATGGTCATAAGGTCATTATCACTCATCCCTTCCTAGAATCTTCCAAACCTCTGGTCATTTCTAAGTGAAGGGCGGAACTCTATTCCTCTTGGTGGCTACTGTCATTTGTGCTGTCTCTAACACAGGTCTTTGTCAAAGAGACCACGCCCCTCGGCCAGTTCTCGAGCAGCAGAACCGAATGGCACAGAGGACAGCTTTTTGCCATGAGGCACGGAGGGTCTGATGGGGACTCCAGGGGGCCTGTGGAACTCAGAGGCCTCAGTTCACAGAGCAAATGCCTCTGAACTCACAGCCTTGGGCCACACAGAAGGCTCCTCCTGTAGTCTCTGTAACTTTCTTTCCATCACAGGGACAGTGACAACAACTAACACACAGCACCTACCGCATGGCGAGCAGCACTAGTCAAACTATGTGGATTATCTCCTTTAATCTTCTTGACAACTCTGTGATGTAGCTACTATGTGCCTTTTTTTTTTGAGATGGGTCTCGCTCCTGTCCCCAGGCTGGAGTGCAGTGGCGCAATGCCCAGCTTCCAACCCTCCGCCTCCCAGGTTCAAGCTTGATTCTCGTGCCTCAGGCTCCCCAAGTAGCTGGGACTACAGGAGCACCGCCACACCTGGTGACTTTTTATATTTTTAGTAGAGATGGGTTTCACCATGTTGGCCAGGCTGCTCTCAAACTCCTGACCTCAAGTGATCCACTGCCTTGGTCTCCCAAGTGTGGGATTACAGGCGTGAGCCACGAAACAGCCAATTATTTGCATTTACATATGATAAAGTGCTGCATGGATCCTAATGTACCCAAGGTGTCACAGTCATGAAGTGGGAGAGCTGACATTTGAACCCAGGCAGGCATCAGCCTATCTGTCAATCTCCCAGGCAGCCACACACCCTGGGATGACAGGTGGAGGCTCTGGCCAGACCTGGGGTGGCCATCACCCCCTTCCCTCCCAGGCCTGGGGGCTCCTGGCTCCCACTTACTCTGCAGATTTCCCAGCCCGTGGCGTAGCAGGGTAGTTGTTAGGTAGAATGGTACCAGCAGGAGGAGGTGGGTGGCTGGATCTTGTCGGTGAAGAGAGTGAGGGTTATCCAGTTTGAAGGAGGGAGGCAGGCCAGCTGGATCTTGTCGGTGAGGGAGACGGGGTTAGCCAGTTTGACCAGGGCAATGTCGTACCTGGGTCGGTGCAGAGGCAGAGCATGAGGACAGGGTTGACTTTTCCTGCCCTGTAGGGCTTTGGAGGGCTCTGAGACCTTGTCATCGTTCCCTATACATTACCCCAGGTTGCTCTGAGTGGCAGGGCCCAGGGCATGTTTGAAAATGCAGACGGGCGGCCTGGCACGGTGGCTGATGCCTGTAATCCCAGCACTTTGGGAGACTGAGGCAAGCAGATCACGGGGTCAGCAGACCAAGACCATCCTGACTAACACAGTGAAACCCTGTCTCTACTGAAAATACAAAAAATTAGCTGGGCATGGTGGTGGCGCGCACCTGTAGTCCCAGCTACTCAGAAGGCTGAGGCAGGAGAATGGCATGAACCCAGGAGGCAGAGCTTGCAATGAGCCGAGATCGCGCCACTGCACTTCAGTCTCTGCGACAGAGCGAGACTCTGACTCACACACACACACACACACACAAAGAAAATGCAGAGGGCCTTGTTGAAAGGGGCAAGGCAGGAGAGGTTGTGTCCTACTCCGGGGACAGTCACAGGGTCGACAGCACTGTCCCTGTGTCCCCAGGACTTGTCACGAAGTAGATACATGCTCAGTGGACGGGGGCCCTGTAGGCTTAATTGGCAGCAAACCGAGGTCACTCTGGCAGTCTTTGCTTCTCCCTCCCCAGGTCACATCCCCACCCCAGACATCTTTGGAGCTGGTTCCACATCGAAGAGGCTAGAGCTCCTTCTCCCTCCCTATAGAAGCAGAGGACATGTGGTGGGGTTGAGACCCTTGCCTCTGTGAGACCCCCATGTGTTCCCTGACAACCTCACCCTCAAGTGCACCCAGACAGAAACGAACCCTTTGGAGACCTGGTCGGAGTTCCAGTTCTGGTGCACCACAGTCTTAGAGACACTGACAGCCAGCGAGCCGGACTCTGCAGTGTAGAGGTTGTGCTGTCCCAGCACCACGCGGTAGGTCCTGAAGGAGCTGGGAGAAAGGGGGTCCAGGGAGAGGGTCACCTCCAGAGGCCTGACTTTGGATAGTGTTGGGATAGACCCAAGTAACTGGCTGCTGCATGAGCCACTAGTTGGGGCTTGGGCTTGGGAATCTTTCCTCCCCTGGGACAATCAGTTATAATAGAGCCTAAAGTATATAACATAGGAACTATGATCATACAATAATTGTTACTATACTAACTATAAACTACAATATAAAATAAATGTAATAACACAGACTCTATAGTATTATGGAGGGAATGAGATGAACACAGAGAAAACAGGAGTCATTTGGCCTCAAGGAAATTTTCAACCTTTCATTTTCACATGGGGAAACTGAGGCCCAGAGCAGTGTAACTGGCCCAGAGTCCCACCATTAGTGAGAAACCAGAACGAGAAGCCAGGACTCCTGACTGTAGGCATCTATTAGTTGCCCCATCACTTCATAGAGCTTATTATAAATTAGATGGGAGAAAGGATCACTCCTCGTAGGGAGTCACACTGACCCAGCAGAAACTCTGGTGAGTTCCAGCTGTGATGAGCAGAGGTCACGGACAAAGAAGAGGGTAAGTGAATAACATTGCAGAACCTTGTGGGCTTTTATAATTTGTCTGCAATTCAGAATTAGCTTTCATTGAGCACTTAATAAGTGCCAGGCACTTTAGCAAATCAATTACTGAATCCACACTAAATTCTGTTACTCCATTTTCTGCAGGTGATGGTATTGAAACTTTGAGAAGTCAGTTAAGTTGTTCAAGGGAACCCAATTCCAGATCCAGAGGCCACATGTAGTTTCCCCAAGAGGGCAGAGATTGGGCCTTCCCCTCCTCTTCATCCTCCCTCATTGCCTGCCTGGCACAGGACACTCCATTCATGCCATGAAATGACCCATGGGTGGGCCAACACACTGAACCATCGATTGACTACAGCTTGTGTCTCAGCCAGGCTAGTGGTTATTTGCAAGGTTCCTTTATGTAGCATAGTTCAGGCCATTTGAGCCCCCAGCTCAGAAATGAGCACCGGCTGGTGAGCAGGCCAAGCGCCCAGGGAATGGCAGTTACCTGATGCAGTGGGCGGCCGTCAGGACCCAGTTGTTGGCTATCAGGGACCCTCCACAGGTGTGGTACCACTGGCCATTGGAGCTGTACTGCAGGGAGACCTGGGGAGAAGCACAGGAGCTCTGTGGCTGTGGCTGTGGCTGAAAAAGCAGGGCCTCCCTGCACTCCAGTTTCCCAAGAACAGGGCTGGGACAAGGGTAAGGGGGAGTGAGGCACTCACCTCAGGTGCTCAACTTAAGGAGGCCCCCAAAACCTCAGACGTCAAGATAAAAAACATTTTAATGCAATCTATAGTAAAAAAACAAAAAACAAAAAAAACCCAAAAAACCCCACAAAACTCAGGCCAGGCATGGTGGCTCATGGCTATAATCCCAACACTTTGGGAGGCCAAGGCAGGAGGTTGGGTTGAGCCCAGGAGTTTGAGACCAGCCTGGGCAACGTGGTGAAACCCCGTCTGATAAGGTTTGGCTGTGTCCCTACCCAAATCTCATCCTGAATTGTAGCATAATCCCCACGTGTCGTGGGAGGGGCCTGGTGAGAGGTTATTGAATCATGAGTGTGGTTACCCCCATGCTGTCCCCATGCTGTTTTCATGATAGTGAGTGAGTTCTCACACGATCTGATGGTTTTATTTATTTATTTGAGATGGAGTCTTGCTCTGTCGCCCAGGCTGGAGTGCAGTGGTGCGATCTCAGCTCACTGCAAGCTCCACCTCCCGGGTTCATGCCGTTCTCCTGCCTCAGCCTCCTGAGTAGCTGGGACTACAGGCACCCAACACTGCGTCCGGCTAATTTTTTTGTATTTTTAGTAGAGATGGGGTTTCACCGTGGTCTCCATCTCCTACCTTGTGATCTGCCCACCTCGGCCTCGCAAAGTGCTGGGATTACAGGCGTGAGCCACCGTGCCTAGCCATGATCTGATGGTTTTATAAGGGGCCTTTCCCCCTTTTGCTCAGCACTTCTCCCTGCTGCCACCGTGTGAAGAAGGATGTGTTTCCTTCCCCTTCTGCCATGATTGTAAGTTTCCTGAGGCCTCCCCAACCATGCTGAGCTGTGGGTCAATTAAATCTCTTTCCTTTATAAATTACCCAGTCTCATGTATGTCTTTATTAGCAGTGTGAGAACGGATTAATACACTGTCTCTACAGAAAAATACCCCAAGATTAGCCACTGGGTGTGGTGGTGCATGCCTGTAGTCCCAGCTACCCAGGAGGCTGAGATGGGAGGATTGCTTGACCCTGGGAAGTCTAGGTTGCAGTGAGCTGCCATGGCACTGTGCTCAGTCTGGGTGACACAGTGAGGCCGTCTCCACAGGGGACATCCTGTCAGCTCTGCCTTGAGAATTTGTGGAATGGTTGCTACCCCTTGGTCACTACCTCAACTGCGTGTCCCAGTCATCCTCTCTTCTCGATGATCACTCTAGTCTCCCATCTCTTCTCCCTGCTCCCACCCACATTTTCTCAACACGGCAGCCAGAATGATCCTTTTTGAATGGGAGTCAGATGACTTCTCTTCTCTGTTCAGACTCTCCAGTGGCTCCCCCTTTACGGTTTGCAAAAGTTAAAACTGTCTGATGACCTACTAGGCCCTCTGTGGCCTCTCTGAACCCATAGGCTCCCACTCTCCTCTCCTCCAGCCACACTGACTTCCATGCAGTTCTGCAAATACACCAAACCCACTTCTGCCTCAGGGCCTTTGCACTGGCTCTTCCTTCTGCCTGGAATATTCTCGCAAATATCGGCGTAGCTCTTTCCTTCACTTCCTGTAGGTCTCTGCTCAAGATTACCTTCTCCATGAGGTCTTCTATGACCATGCTGTTCAAGCAGTGTGCACACACACAGACACGCACACTCATGTACATAGGCACACACAGATAGCCTTGTCTCTTTCCCCTGACTCTGCTTTACTCTTCGTAGTATCTTTCGTTTTCTGGTGTGTTATTAGTTTACCCATTCAGTTGTTTATTGTCTCTTCTACTTTATTTTATTTTATTTTTTGAGATGGAGTCTCCCTCTGTTGCCCGGGCTGGAGCGCAGTGGCACAATCTCGGCTCACTGCAACCTCTGCCTCCCAGATTCAAGCCATTCTCCTGCCTCAGCCTCCCCACTAGCTGGGATTATGGGTGCCTGCCACCATGCCCCACTGGTTTTTGTACTTTTAATAGAGTCGTGGTTTCACCATGTTGGCCAGTCTGATCTCCAACTCCTGACTTCAGGTGATCCACCTGCCTCAGCCTCCCAAAGTGTTGGGATTGCATGTGCGAGCCACTGTGCCCGGCCACATCCTTGTTTTTAATTAGCCACTGGGCATTTCTCATTTTTGTGACATTAAGGGGCGTTAGATGAACTGGCTTTAAAAAAGATGTTTAAAATTGGACCAAGGGAAAAAAGACACTTAAAAGTATCTACTCCCCCACCCCAATTTAAAAATGTGCGGAAACCATCCTACAGATGTGAAATTTAGTCCATGTAATACGTATTGTTTGTGGCCAGCAAAGTGTAGCTAAAAGAACAAACACTGAACCAAATTTGAATCCTCATTCCCCCCCAGGCTAACTCAGTGCCTTTGGGCAATTCTGTAACCTTTCCAAGTCCCAGTTGCCTTCCCTGGAAACACATAACATAAGCCACTGTGCAGGGCTCTCAGGGTGATTAATACTGTAATTACAATAGCTGGCTGGGTGGAATGGCTCACACCTGTAATTCTAGCACTTTGGGAGGCCGAGGCAGGTGGATCACTTGAGGTCAGGAGTTTGAGACCAGCCTGGCCAACATGATGAAACCCTATCTCTACTAAAATACAAAAAAAATCAGCTGGTGTGGTGGCACATATCTCTAATCCCAGGTACTCAGGAGGCTGAGGCAGGAGAATGGCTTGAACCTGAAAGGTGGAAGTTGCAGTTAGCCGAGATTGCGCCACTGCACTCCAGCCTGGGTGACAGAGTAAGACACTGCCTCTCCCCCACACCCCCACAAAAAAGAAAATTGCATTAAAATATTATTCCTGTTGGCTGGGCGTGGTGGTTCATGCCTGTAATCCCAGCACTTTGGGAGACCAAGGCAGGTAAATCACCTGAGGTCAGGAGTTTGAGACCAGCCTGACCAACATGGAGAAACCCTGTCTGTACTAAAAATACAAAATTAGCTGGGCGTGGTGGCGCATGCCCGTAATACCAGCTACTCTAGAGACTGAGGCAGGAGAATCACTTGAACCTGGGAGGCAGACGTTGCGGTGAGCTGAGATTGTGCCATTGCACTCCAGCCTGGGCAACAAAAGCGAAACTCTGTCTAACCAAAAAAAAAAAAAAAAAAAAAAAAAAAAAAAAAACACACACACACACACACATATATATACATACATATATATATATATATGCCTCAGCCTCCCAAGTAGCTGGGATTACAGGTGCCTGCAATCATGCCTGGCTAATTTTTGTAATTTTAGTAGAGACAGCGTTTCACCATGTTGGCCAGGCTGGTCTCGAACTGCTGACCTCAAGTGATCCACCCACTTCGGCCTGCCAAAGTGCTGGGATTACAGGTGTGAGCCACCGTGCCTGGCCTATCATTGACAGTCTCTTAATCAAGGAGCAGATGAATGACGCTGGCCTCTGTAGACACAGTGACTGCTGCATGGCTCACTCTGAATGCTCAAGGCTACTGGGCTGCTAATTGCTCCTCCTACTTCAGTTAGAAACTCATCCTGATTCAGCTGGGTTTGCTCCTAAAGCAGTTTATATCAATGATGTTTGCAATAATGAAATTTGATTAAATATGTAACCAAATATTCTGAAATATGAGTTCAGAAAGAGAGTTGTGAAACAAAGTTAAATGCTTGGAAGAGACTGAATCACCATGATTCCTAAAAAATTGCTCTTGAATTAGTGTCTGTGAGAAAATGGAACGATTGTAGGGAAAAGTCGTAAAAGTCAGGATGGGCTCATAACTCAGATTGCTTTGTGAACGTCTCAAAGTTACTGCTCTGCTTTAAAGAAATGAACTTGTAGATGATATATTATGGGGCGTGGTTTATATGAAAAAGACAGTTAAGAATTTAAAAAATTGTTTACATAATGTAAGATAAAATGTTTACAACATATATGTATGATTTAAAATAATTTCTTTATGACCAACTTTTCAATTACTCAGTCCCAGTTACATCAGATAAATGAGATTTTACTACATTTGTTTGTGTCAACGTAAACTTTATACAAGTCTTTTGAAATTACCACAATTAACACATCTTAGTAATTTGTGCCTGTGCCCAGCTGGGCAGTTTAGTCTTAATATCACTATTATATCAACTTAGGAAACATTTTCCTTGGTAACATTGATTTGCCTGTAGTTAAAGATTAATCTGCATAAATAGCACTGATTGGTTCCTTAAAGCAAGGAATATTTGCATAGGTAGTCTTGAATGGTTCATAGGATAATGGTACATTTGAAAGCAAGCCTCTGATTGGTTAACAGAGTAAGACTATAGTTGTAAATTTGTGTATAGGCAGTGGGGAGGGGATAGCTCCTTACTGCAGTTGGAGGAGGTACGTCTCCCTCCACTCCCAAGGTTGGCCAAAGCCACAGAAATGTATCTTTTTTTTTTTTTTGAGATGGAGTCTCTGTTATTCAGGCTGGAGTGCAGGGGTGCAATCTCCTCTCACTACAACTTCTGCCTCTCGGGTTCAAGTGTTTCTCCTGCCTCAGCCTCCCAAGTTGCTGGGATTACAGGCATGCGCCACTGAGCTTGGCTAATTTTGTATTATTAGTAGGGACAGGGTTTCACCACGTTGCCCAGGCTGGTCTCAAACTCCTGACTTCAGGTGATCTGCCCACCAGGGCCTCCCAAAGTGCTGGGATAACAGGCATGAGCCACTGCGCCCAGCCGGAAATGTATCTTATTGGTGAAGTTGCCTGTGCTGCTCTCTGAGTCCCATCAATGCTCACTTTGCCAGCACAGTAGACCCCATGGTGGAAGGGCAAAGGGGCGATGTAAAGGGAGTGGGGCAGGGACAAGGGGAAGTACAGTGTGGTCGACTCACCTGCCAGGGCCAGCTGTTGGGCCTCGCTTCTTCACCACCATACATCCTAGACATACCAGGTGGGTAAGTGGGGACCCCACAACTGAGGGCTATGAAAAGAGAAAGGGACTTGAGTCCAAGAAGCAGCGACCCACACAATGTAAACTACACTTGCTGCATTCTGAACCCCCAAATAGAAAACCCTTGTTCTAGAAGGATCCCAAGAGGTCATAGAATCCTTCTCTTTGCTCCAGTTCTTTGAAACTCCATTCCAGTTTTCTTATGACTATAGGTCTGAATGCAGTAGGGGTTGGGTGGGGGTGAGAGGGGAGGACAGGAAGATCCCATTCCCAGCCCCACCAGGGGATGGGAAACCAGTGGCTCTGGGTGACAGGGTTTACCTCCAGCCACCAAAGCGGACAGCAGCAGGCTCCTAATCATGGTGTGTCCGTGGGAGTTCTGTCAGCGTGGCCCTGGAGAAGGCCCTGGTTTTATGAGTGAACTTATCAGTGAGAGATACACTGGGAGCACACAAGATGGGGATTTTCTCAAAGCCCAGTGGAAAAAAGAGCTTGTGTCCAAATATTTTTTTTTTCCCATTTCCTCCCAACTGTCACCCTAGAAATACTTTGAAAAGAGGCCAAGGGTAGATATTGGAATATGGGTTCCATCTGTTTTAAAGAGATTATGTTGTGTGTTAGGGAAGGAAGAAAAATACTAATTGTTGGTCCTTGGAGTTGTGTTTTTTTTTTTTTCTTCCCTGAGTAAGACTGAGGAGAGAAGTTGTGTTTTCTTTCTTTTTTTTTTTTTTCTTTCTGAGACAGAGTCTTGCCCTGTCACCCAGGCTGGAGTGCAGTGGCGCTATCTTGGCTCACTGCAACCTCTGTCTCCTGGGTTACAAGTGATTCCCCTGCCTCAGACCCCCGAGTACCTGGGATTACAGGTGTGTGCCACCATTCCTGGCTAATTTTTGTATTTTTAGTAGTGATGGGGGTCTCATCATGTGGGCCAGGCTGGTCTCCAACTCCTGGCCTCAAGTGTTCTGCTTGCCTCGGCCTCCCAAAGTGCTGGGATTACAGGCTGAGCCACCGCGCCTGGCCAGGAGTTGTGTTTTCAATGAAAAGATGAAGGTGGCATGCTGAACCCACAGCGTTCTAAGGCAGTATTTCTCAGTGGGGCTGGTTCAGCCACCAGGAGACGTTTGACAACATCTGGAGACATTGTTGGGTGTCATGGCTGGGGTTGATGTTATTGGCATCCAGCGGGCAGAGAGCAGAGATGCTGCTAAACATCCAACAATGCACTGGGCAATAGGACTTGCCCTGCCCCGGATGTCAGTGGTGCTGAGGCTGAGAAAGCCTGTTCTAGGCCATGCCAGGGCTTGCAGTGTGACCTTGGCTGGGTCATGTAAGTCTCTAGACCCATGTGTGAAACAGGGAGAGAAACCTGTGCCCAGCATGTTTCACAACATTATGGTAAGGATTTGTGTAATGTGGGGAAGGTGCACACATAGCAGAAGGCAGGGCCGACATGCACAATTAGGATCTGGCTGCTCTAATGATCGGGGGAAGCAGAATGCTGGCAAAGGAGGACTTCATCGGGTGGATCAAGATGCACTTTATGGCCTGGCATGGTGGCTCACTCCTATAATCCCAGAACTTTTGGAGGCTGAGGCTGGCGGATCACCTGAGGCCAGGAGTCTGAGACCAGCCCAGTCAACATTGCAAAACCCTGTCTCTACTAAAAATAGAAAAATTAGCCGGACGTGGTGACACGCACCTGTAATCCCAGCTACTCAGGAACCTGAGGCAGGAGAATCACTTGAACCCAGGAGTCAGAAGTTGCAGTGAACCAAGATTGCACCATTGAACTCTCGCCTGGGTGACAAGAGCAAAACTCCATCTCAAAAAAAAAAAAAAAAAAAGGGGGGGCCAGCCTGGAAAACATAGTGAGACCCCCCACCCAGTCCCCATCACTACAAAATTTTCTTTAAAAAGTTAGCCAGGCATGGTGGCACACATATGTGGCTCCAGCTACTCTGGAGGCCGAGGCAGGAGGGTCGCTTGAGCCTGGGTGGTCAAGGCTGCAGTGAGCTGCAATCAAGCCAGTGCAGCCTGGGCGACAGATGCATTTTATGTCCTTTTCCAGGAGAATAACAGTTTGGACCTCTCCAATACCCTCATCTTCCAAATTGTGTCAAAGCAGAAGCTTCTTCCAAAGGGGAGCAAACAAAGGCAGGCAGACACTCACCCAGCACCACATAGACATTAGATGCACTCACATTCCTTATTGAATCTAAGCCCTAGGAAACCCTGCAAGAGGCTCTCTTATTTCACAGGAGGAAGCTGAGCTTCAGAGAGGTGAGGTGAGTTGCCCAAGATCTTACAGCTTCTAAGCGGCAGAATGGGAACTGGAACTAGGTTGGTCTGATTCCAAAGCCCATTACTTGTCACCACTGGAGACAGCATCCTGCCTCACCTCCTAGGACTTCAACTTGTGTTGGGGGAGGCATGGAGTGAGCACGGTTTCCTGGTGGACTCTCTTGTTCTTCCTTAGACCTTCACTCTCCTTGCCTTTTGGGAGAGCACAAAGCCAGGCAGGCCCGCTGCTGATGAGGAAGCTCCGCTCTGTGACCACAAACCCTAGCTTTTGCCCCAGTCAAAAAAGCAGTGGGGAAACTGGATTTCAACCCCTATGACTTGAGTTGAAGTCTTTGATCCATCGATTTTGAGTGCGGTGGTCAGGACATGTCACTTATCTTCTGGGCCTTAGTTTCCTAGATAACCACCCAGGCCTAGATTGCAGGATTATTGTATGGGGAAGAAAATGGGTGGGAAAGAATTCTGTAATCTCCCTAGGATCGTGCGAAGGTGAGAAAGATTGGGGGCGTGGGCAGACTCCATGGGAAGGATACCAGAAGACGTGGGTTCCAGTCCCAACTCCATCCCATACTCTCTGTAACAGTTTGGACTCACTTATGGTCTGCATCAGTCACTACAGCAACCAACTATTTCCTATTTCTTTTTCTTTCTTTTTTTTTTTTTTTTTGAGGAGTTTCGCTCTTGTTGCCCAGGCTGGAGTGAGGAGTGAAGTGGCATGATCTCGGCTCACCACAACCTCTGCCTCCCGGGTTCAAGTGATTCTCCTGCCTCAGCCTCCTGAGTAGCTGGGATTACAGGCGTGTACCACCACATCCAGCTAATTTTTGTATTTTTAGTAGAGATGGGGTTTCTCCATGTTGGTCAGGCTGGTCTTGAACTCCCGACCTCAGGTGATTTGCCTGCCTCAGCCTCCCAAACTGCTAGGATTACAGGCGTGAGCCACTGCGCCCAGCACCAACCAATTATTTCTTAAGTCTCATATTTTATTTGGCATTCTGCTCTGTGTCTTTGTTTAATATAAAAATAAGGTTTGTCCTATATGAGGCCACTGAACAAACACCAGCTGTGAATTTGCTGTGTGACCTTGGGCCAATCTCACAGGCTTTCTGACCTGGGGTTGCCTATCTACAAACAAGGAGAAGAACAGATGCTCGGTCCGTTCCACCACATTGCTGTCAGGATTTGAAAGTGACACAAAACTTACACAGTTGTGCTTAAGCCAACAAAATGGCAAAATCCAGGAGCAAAGCTGGCTTCAGGCAGAGCAGGTTTCAGGGCCCTGGTGATGGCCCTTGGACTTGGCTTTTCTTCATCTTTTGCTTCTGCCTTCTGCTTTGAGGTCTCATCTCAGCCTCCGTTAAGAGGCCTGTAGCTGCTCTGCGTTCTCCCTTCCCTGAGGACAAGATCACCGCAGCATCTCTGGTCCAGAGTTCCTCACCTGCAGCAGTGTCGACATTTCGGGCGGGATGATGCTTTGTTTTGAGGGCTGTATCTATGTCCCGTGCATTGTGGGAGTTTGACAGCATCCCTGGCCCCAGTCCGCTAGATGCCAGTCCCTACCCCTCCCCACACAGTTGCCGCAACTAAAAATGTCTCCATACATTGCCAGATGTACTCTGGGGAGCTAAATCACCCCGTCTCCCCCTTCCCCTCTCATTTTGCTTTGTAGCCTCACATTCCCTCATCCTCACACCTGTGCAGTGAATGAGTGACAGCCCTCTGGTAGCTCCCCGCTCAAGTCAACCGTGCAACCTCTCTGATTGGACCTGCCTCAGGTCACATGCCCATCCCTGAGCCAATCGCTGTGGTGGGGGAAGGGGATGCAATGTGTTGATTGGCCAGGCCTGGAGCACGGGCTCCAGCCTTGGTCCTGGGCCATGAGGTTTCACCCAGAACCTCTGGAGCCGGTGGGGCAGCGCCTGCACAGAAATCCAGGCTTCTCTGCTGGGAGGGGAGGAAAGGGAGGCCGAGCATGCAGAGTGCAGGAAGCCGCTACAGCCCACTTCCCGCCCTGGAGCTTAGTGCTTCATTTATATGTTGTTTGACAATAATGTCATGTGTCAGGTTGTAAAGTGGGCTGGGTCCTTGAGGTCTCAGTCGGGCAGGGAGACGCAGATGCAAAATTCTTTTTTTCTCTTTTTTTTTTTTTTTTGAGACAGGGTCTCACTCTGTCGCCCAGGCGATGACGAGATCTTGGCTCACTGCAGTCTCTACCTCATGGGTTCAAGCGATCCTCCCACCTCAGCCTCCTGAGTAGCTGGGACTATAGGTGCGTACCACCTCGCCCATTTACTTCTTGTATTTTTAGTAGAGACAGGGTTATGCCATGTTACTCAAACTTGTCTTGAATTCCTGGACTCGAGCGATCTGCCTGCCTTGGCCTCCCAAAGTGCTAAGTGCTGGGATTACAGGGTTGAGCCACTGCTCCCAGCCTACTTATGGTTTTTAGGGCCCTGGATATTAGGATGGATTGCTAATAAATCTCTCATCAAGATGTGATTTGCATAGTTGTCATTTTATTATAATTTTAATTTCCTTCTCGGACCTTTCCAAGTCTGAAACCGTCCCGGGGACTTCTTTTGGTTAGTTATTTTCAATCACCTGCAGGACACACAAGAAAATCGTCAGGGTCACCTAACTGCAGAGCTGTGCGTGGCAGTTTCCTGTCTCTGTCCTCCTGGGCTAAGCTCCTCAAGTGAGTCACAGGCAGCCCACACTGCAGTAGCTCCTGCCTGAGGAGTTCTGAGGACGTTTTGAAAACAAAGATGCAATCACAGGTTTTCATTGACCTGTTAGGGTCTTCCTGTAAAGGGGGTCTTACCAGGAGTCCTGTGTGGGCTTCAGGGTAGGGGGCCTTTGAACCCCTAAAACTTATATTCCAAATGTGTGGATGGCATATTTTTAGATTTCGTTTCTCAAATCAAAACTGCTATTTGCAAGGCAGTTATGCAATGTGGTTGGTGCTATAACTGCTTCCAGAGGCTGTTGATCAGTGTCTGTTAAACGTTTTTTGTTTTTTTTTCAGACAATCACACTGTGTTGCCCAGGCTGGAGTGCAGTGGGGCGATCTGGACTCACTGCAACCTCCGCCACGCAGGTTCAAGTGATTCTCATACATCAGCCTCCCGGGTAGCTGAGATTTTAGTCATGCACCACCACGCCCGGCTAATTTTTTGCATTTTTAGTAGAGACGAGGTTTCACCATGTTGGCCAAGCTGGTCTCGAACTGCTGACCTCAAGTGATCTACCCGCCTCAGCTTCCCAAAGTGCTTGGATTACAGGCGTGAACCACCACAC